TTCCGGGCGACATACGGACACAGTATAGAGCACTGTCAAAAAAAAAAAAAAAAAAAAAAAACCTACCCCAAAACAAAAACTAAAAAACCCACCAAACCCCCAAAACTTTTGGACGCAAGTAGTTTACTCAAGCTACTATCAGCACGAATGAAGGGAAACATGAAGATACAGCAATGTCCAATGGGAAGATGGCTTCAGTAGAGCCAAGACTCCGGCAGTTCATTTCTCCAGCTGTCTTCTCATCTTTATTTCTCTGTGCAATCACCTCTTTCTTTTCATGGTATCCCAACTGCTGTTTACATCCCATCTAAGTGATTAATTAAAGGTGACAGTGCAATACAGATTTCCAGAAGAGAGAGTTCACCCACTCCCACACTGAGTCAGATGGACAGCATGACCTCCAGCATGTCTGGGACAGGCTACCTGAAGCAGGCATGTCAAGGGTACCCATCCTCATAGATGGTAAGGTCACTCTCCAAGAGGAAGAGTGAAGTGTGGTGGACAAACAGTTAAAACAGGTGACTTAGTGGACTCTAATTAAATTACTTATTGACTTTGAAGAAATCAGTATGGTTCAAGGAAAAGTCTTGAGAAAAAAAAATTAACATCAATCTTTTATTATTTATCTCGTGTAGCCCAGACTGGCCTTGAACTTGTATGTAGCTGAGGATGACCTTGAAGTCTTGATTTTTTTGTCTCCACCTCTGGAGTGCTGGACTTACTTGTGTGTGCCACCATGCCCAGTTTATGTGACTCTGGGAGTGGAACCCTGGCTTCCTACATTCGAGGCAATCACTCTACCAACTGAGCTATATCCTCAGCCCTGGAGCTGGATCTTCTGAAATAGCAGTTTCCTTTCAACATAACCTTATCTGGACTTTAAGAAAAGCTGGATATGATGGTTCATACCTATAATCCCAGCATTTGGGAGGATAAGGTAGGAGGATTGCTGTAAGTTCAAGGCCTACCTGGGCTTATATAGTGAGAATCTTCTCAAAATCAAAATTTAAAAATCCCATTGGGACCATATGAGGAGTATTTTATAGGATCATCACATTTATTCCAATCCTGGTAAGGTGTGCTAGGTAGATACTGAAAATGAAATAGAAGTGTAATTTTAAATTTGTATGTATTGATGTATATGGATGAGTATACATCAACATCTGTATTTTAAAATACCCATCTACCTCCCATAAGGAACAGAAGTGACATTTAATAAAAACAAAAAAATTATGACCAAGAGCTACTAATAGAAGAAAAGACAAGAAGCAAACTCATGCTTATGGGCAGAGCCATAGGCACGATTAAGTCATTAGCTCTGAACTTGCTGATATTTAAGAAAAAATTAAGCCAGGCCTGGTAGGCACAAGACTGTAATCCTAGCACTTGGAAGGCCAAGGTTGGAAGATCTGGAAGGAGCTTAAGGTCATCTTTGGCTATGTAGTAAGTTTTCAATCACCCTGGGCTATATGAGACTCTGGGGTGGGGGTGGGGGAATAACATATATAAAATAATAATTGAATCTTTTTGCTTTTTGTTTGATTGTTTTTGATGCAGGGCCTTGATATGTTGCCCCTGCTGGCCTAGAACTCACTGTGTAGACCATTCTAGCCTGGCATCAATCTTAGAGAGATCCGTCTGTCTCTGCCTCCTAGTTTAAAGGCTTGGCTGAATTGTTATTATTATTCGAACAATATAGATTCCTGAGGCCCTTAAATCCCCTTCTGAAGGTTCACTGATCAAAACTATTTTCATGTAGGGGGTGGTGGCACAGACCTTTATTCCTAGCACTTGGGAGGCAGAGGCAGTCGGATCTCTGTGAATTCAAGGCCAGTCTAGTCTACATAGTGCGTTCCAGGCCAGCTGGGGATGCAGGGAGACCCTGCCTCAAAAAGACCAAAAAAAAAAAAAAAAAAAGACTTCATTTTGCTGAAGAGAAGGTTAAGGAGTTTCCTGGCAAAAGGACATCATGTACTACATGTTGGATTTATTGGTGTTTTAAGTTACTGCAGCTCTAGTCTGCTGTTGGTGTGTTTATAGGTATATGGTACATTTTGAGAAAGCAGTAGACGCAAACAGAAGTCCACATTAGAAAGTATTACATTTTTAGTACAAAAAGAGTCTTCATTTTGCAAGTACCTGGCTTACGGAGTGATCAATACCTGTAGCAATTGAATGACTGAGCAGCTCATTGTGTACTGAAAATAGGATTCAGATGATCCTAATTGACTCACACATTTCCAGAAACATGTATAATGCATTTAGGAAAACAAAACTGCATTATGCAGCTGCAGTAAAAAAGAGGGAGGCAAGCTTCTAGGTATATGTAGCTCATGTCTGGTGTTAGGATATGCTCTAGGCAGGACAGACAATCCAGAGCTGGTAAAAGCGGCGCCAAAAAAAGTATAAGCAGAGAGCTCTAAGCAGAACTGAGTTTTGTTGTTTATGGTGTGGTTGGGTATGGAGGTCATGCAGTGCATAAAAATTTCAATAAGAGTCAGGCATGGTAGTCCATGCCTTTAGTCCCAGCACTGAGTGGCAGAGGCAGACAGATCTCTATGAGATCGAGGCCAACCTGGTCTATATAGCGAGTGCCAGACCAACTGGGGCTACAGGAAAACCCTGTCTCAAAAAAAGATGGAAAAAAATTTCATTAAGATACTAGAGAAAAATCATTTATGAAATGCTTGTTGGATTAATGGAAAGATGAAGGAGACTGTGATACAATTCTACTTCAATGGCAGCCTCCGCTGATTTGGCATAGGGTGCTAGCTCCCCCATCATTCAGCTCAGCTGTTGTAAGTGACATGCTAAAGAATCTACTGCTGACACAAAAAGACTAATCCATTAAGTGGCTAAACCTAGGGCCCCAAAACCTCTTTGAAAATGTTTTCATTTTTTTAAGATGGGGTCTTGCTATGTGTGTACCCTGGCTGATCTCCAACTGGTGATTTTCCTGCCTCAGTCTCCTGACTACAGAAATTTCAGGCATGTGCCACCACCCTCAGTTCCAAAAAATTCTTAAGAAGGCCAGGGGGAGGTGGTGCTTGCCTTTAATCCCAGCGCATGGGAGGCAGAGGTAGGCGGATCTCTCTGAGTTCAAAGCCAGCCTATTCTACATAGTGAGGTCCAGGCCACATAGTGAGACTGTCTCAAACAACAAAATTTCTTAAGATACTCGAGCAATGTGACAAATATACTATGATAGGATTTAATAGATCAGTATTCTGAATTGAGTCCCTTGAAACCATCTAAACAAGTGTGGGATTTTTGGAACCCAGAATATTTAAGAGGAACTGAGATGAGACAAATACAATGAAGAGCTACTGAAAGGCTGCCATCTGGCTTCTGATGTTTCCTGGAGGGGGGACAGTGGTGTGGGTGCGGAAAGAAAGGCAGGTGGAGAATGTGGTTTATGAGTGCAATATGCAAAGGAAACTTCAAACTCAATACATGGGTTCCTAAATGGGAGGCCTCAGATGTAACTAACAGAAATATAGTATTCAGAATGAAACAGACAGGGTCCTGCTTTGCTCTGGGCAAGTCAGGCCTCACCTGGCACATTGGCAGCAGTCTGGGTCAAGACCTTTCACAGAGGGCCTCACCAGCCAGAATACACAGCGAAGACCAAACTGAGGTAGGAAAGGCTGGACATCATGGCATGTGCCCGTGCTCAACTTGGCAAAGTACCACTCTGGGCCTTCTAGGCCACATGGCTCCTGGCTTCCTCTCAAACTTGTTTCCTATCTTCTCTCCCCTCCTGATCTCTGCTTTTACCATTCTGACCCTTGATAGTCACCACTAGGTGGTTATCATGGTTGGGCCCTTTGTTCCCCCAAAAGTCACATGGCTCACCCCCTCCATTCAAACAGATCTTTATCGTTGGGCATGGTGGCGTACACCTTTAATCCCAGCACTCGGGAGGCAGAGGCAGGTGATCTCTTTGAGTTCAAGGCCAGCCTGGTCTACACAGTTCCAGGCCAGCTGGAGCTACAGGGAGACCCTGTCTCAAAACAAAACAAAACAAAAAAAGACCAAACACGTCTTTGTCCTAAGGTCACCTAGTCAGGAGATCCTCCCTACCTCTGTAAAGAGGTGTGTGTCCCAGCTTTCTCCCCTCACTTCTCTCTTTTCTTTTTCAATGCTGGGGATCAAACCTAGGGGCTTTCCACACTCCAGATAAGTAAGCATTCTAACACTGAGCTATACCCCCCTGTCTTGTTTTTATTTTTTTAAACATAGGTGCTAGGGACTGGAACTCAGGTTGTCACTTTAGTGTCACTCACTAAATAAGCCAATCTCCCCAGTCCCATTTTGTTTTTTGTTTTAGACAGGGTCTCCCTATGCACACTAGGCTGGCCTTGGACTCAGAGTCCTCACTCAGCCTCCCCAGTGCTGGGATGACATGTGTGTGCTCACACTGGGTTGAGGCTTTGGTTCCCTTTTCTACCCCCAAGACACCTTATCAATTCAATGAGAAACTTAGCAGAGTCACTGAGTCAAATGAGGTCACACTGCAAACCTAAAGGAGAGTAGCCAAGAGATGCCTCAAGGAGGCAGAATGCAAAAGTCAGATCAGAGGGGTGGGTACTCCAGAGAGGGAGCTTTGAGAACCTCATTTCTGTGGGCTGGGAAGGGTGGGCCACTTGGTGCCAATAGTTGTGTCTGCCCAGATATGAGAAAATCACTTGTTAGGAATATAGTTTGGATTTCTTTTCAGTTCCGGTAATGGAATCCATGCCTTGTACATGCTATGCATGCACTCTACTGCTGGGCTATAACTTGAGCCCTTGGAATTTGAGTTAGATAATGCTTAAGACTTGTTCTTATTGCAGAATTTTATGAAAATGTAATAGGTTAAGCTATCTCTTCTTTGTTAAGACAATTAAAAATTTATTACTTGGAGAAAGATTTTGTGTGTGTGTGTGTGTGTGTGTGTGTGTGTGTGTGTGTGTTGGTGGGTATGGGCCATCAGGCTTGGTAGCAGATCCCACCAAAATTTTGGCCCCAAAATTTGAAATAGTTTTTTTTAATTTATTGAAAAAATTTTTTAGTTATTAATGTGTACGCGTGTATTGCATGCAATGCAATGTAGGTAAGTGCACCTGTGTCGTGCAGTGCCTGAGGAGGTCAGAAGAGGCTGTCAGATCCCCTGGGACTGGAGTTACAGACAGTTGTTAGCTGCCATGTGGGTGCTGGGATTCAAACCCAGGTCTTCTGTAAGAACAACCAGTGTTCTTAACTGCTAAGCCATCTCTCCAGCCCCCCCCCCCTTTTTTTGGTGGAAATACAACTCTCATGTTTTAAATGTGATAAAGGGATTGGCTTAGCAAAACTATGCCCATTTTTTGAAACATAGTTTGAAATATGTGAGACTTAGAGGAGAAAAACTTTGGTTTCATGAGAAAGATGTCCTACTCTCTGAGCACATCCTAATTATGATCCAGGGAGCCAACAAGATGGCTCAGTGGAAAATGTGCTTGCCGTGCAAGCCTGGTGACCTGAGTTCAAACCCCAGAACCTGTGTAAAGGTGGAAGGCAAGAACTGACTCCACAAAGTTGCCCTCTGACCTCCTCATGCACACAGTGGCATGCATACCTGCAAATTCAGCACATACGTACACATACACACAATAATAAAAATTAAGGGGCTGGAGAAATGGCTTAGCAGTTAAGAACACTGGTTGTTCTTACAGAAGACCCAGGTTTGAATCCCAGCACCAACATGGCAGCTAACAACTGTCTGTAACTCCAGTCCCAGGGGATCCGACAGCCTCTTCTGACCTCCAAGGGCATTGCATGATTTTAAAAAATAAATAAAATTAAAATTAAAAACAATCCAAATGTACCTTATTTTTCTTATTTGCATAGCTAATGTGCTAGTCATCCCTATAAATTACAAGTCAGTGTTGTTTTCTGTATTTCTTTTAGATAAGGCATGACATTTGTTACAAGGAGAGCCACTTACATTAACAGTTCAGAAATGAAATGAATTATCCCATTGCAAATATTGGGGCAATCTAGGTAGTCATTAAGATAATTTTGGTGTGGGCAAGAGTGAACAAGACTCTGGTATCTTGCCATGCATGGTGGCACATGCCTTTAGTCCCAGCACTCGGGAGGCAGAGGCAGGCAGATCTCTATGAGTTTGAGGCCAGCCTGGTCTCCACAGCGAAACTAGGCCAGCTGTGGCTACAGGGAGGCCCTGTCTCAAAAATACCAAAAAAAAAAAAAAAAAAAAAAAAGACTCTAGTATCTAGTAGACCTGCCCTGTCCTTCCCTCACTTCCTTTCTCCCTCCCTCCCTCCTTTTCTTTTTTTGGTCAAGGTCTCACTGTGTAACCCAGGTTGGCGTTGGACTTGCACTCCTCCTCCCTCACTCTCTGGAGTGTTGAGATTATAGATGTGTGCCACTACACCTGGCTATAGTATGTTTTTTCAGAGGCAAAGTTTTCTTTTTTGAAAAGGTCACGGAGTTAGGAGAACACTGAACACAGAGGTTTGTATGTTTAATTTTTAAAAAGTATTTATTTACTTATTTTTTAAAAATTTATTATTTGCCTCTGGACTGGAGTTATGGACAGTTAGCCACAATGTGGGTGCTGGGATTCGAACCCGGGCTTTCTGCAAGAACAACCAGTGTTCTTAACCACTGAGCCATCTCTCCAGTCCCTTATTTACTTATTTATTTAGTGTGTGTGTATGTATGTGTACTTTCAGAGGTCGGAGGACAACCTGCAAGAGTTAGTTCTCTCCTTTCCCCATGTGGGTTCTGGGGATTGAACTCATCATCAGGCTTGGCAACAAGTGCCTTTTTACCTGCTGAGCCATCTTGATGGCCTTGTATGTTTTTGTTTTATGTTTTATGTTTTTAATCAGTTAAAACAGACAAGATAACAGTGCATATGGAGGACTCTGTTTCTCATTCAGAGAAAAGGTGCCAGATGTCACTGTGGAGGGAGGCCAGGTAACTTTCAGTTCAGCCCTTCCTCTCCAAGCAGGCCAAGAGCAGAGACACAACCCCAAAGTGTGTTATGGGGATCTGTGACAGTCTCTGGCTATGTGATGAGATTTCTATAGACTAAAAGGCCCAGAGATTGGAGCTACAAGCCCCAGAGATTGGAGCTACAAGGTTAGTGTTAACTTGGTCAGTAAAAATATAAAAGTCTTTTCTGGAATTCTGATTTTTTTTTTTTTTTTTTTGCATCTTTTTGAGACAGGGTCTCCTTGTAGCCCCAGCTGTCCTGGAGCTCACTGGAATTCTGAATTTTTAAAAACTTACTTCAAAAATATAAACAAACAAAAAAGCCCACAACAATTTCAGAACATCAAAAACAATCCCACCTGGGCGTGGTGGCTCACACCTTTAATTCCAGCACTCCAGAGGCAGAGGCAGGTGGATCTCTGTGAGTTCAAGGCCAGGCCGGTCTACACAGTGAGTTCCAGGACAGCTGGGGCTACAGGGAGACCCTGTCTCAAAA